TGGATGATGGATGGATGGATGATGGATGAATGGATGGATGGTGGATGGATTGATGAATGGATGGATGGATGGATCCTCCTAAATCACTACTGAAAAACTCTAATAATTAAACATTTTCCACAGAAGCCACTTTTACAGTTTTGTTTAAAATCACAACCCAAGTGACATCTTTGCACATCCAGTGCAAACAGCAACAACAACTAATTAAACAGGTAATTTGTTGTAAAACTTAAATGCAAAATAAATAAAACAGTTCACTGCAGAAAATATAAATATACATCCAACAATGTTCAGTCAGGTCAGCTGGACGGTTTCTCTTTTTGCTGAGACGTTTCGTCCTTCATCCAAAGGACTTCTTCAATCTGAGGAGCCACCAAACAAACTGATTCACACAAACAGCATGCTCCATAGTGGAAAAATAAATATCCACCTTCTTCTTTCAGCTGCTCCCTTCTTCAGGGTCACCACAGTGAACTAACTCTCACAAAGACTTGGTGATAGTTTTTTCACCAGATGTTCTTCCTGACTCAACCACAGACACCGAGCTACCACTGCCCTCAGAGAGCTGCTGTCTAGGGAGCCTGGGGGAGCAGATGGTGGGGGTTACGTGCCTTGCTCAAGGGCCCAGAGTGGGAAAAAGGGTGGAGGCAGGTGTGGGTGCTTCACCTTTCCCATCCACATTTTGATGTTGTTTCGGGGGTTGAACCGGCAACCTTCTGATCACAGCTTGCCTTCTCTAACCTCTGCACCACCACTATATTTTCCTCCATCAGGTCTTGTTTTTGAATGTCACCGTTTCAACACTCGTCCTTTATCTCTTGGTCTGGGACCAGAAAAAGTGACCTAAAAGAGACGCTCAGTTATTTTAGTGCAGTGATTTGTTTTTGACAACAAACAAACAAACAAAACATTTACATCCCACCATGGATCAGTCAGCTACATGTGGTGCATGTGTGAATCATTTAGAGTGTGGATGCTCTGACTGAGCAGGGCTGACTCTCAGGGCTTTGTGACGGGGGCAGCGGCCCACAGCTCTGCTCGTTGGATTAGGTTAATTTTCCAGCGAGTTTGCTAACTTGCAGTCTTAGCAGCATTCTGCCAAAGGACATGTAGGATCCAGGTTCAATGATACCCCGGACTCATAAGTCCTGATTTAGTGCAAAGATTCAGATCATTATCCCGAGTGTGTCAGGAACTGACCAGCTCAGTTTTATATCTGGCAACCCTGAATTTCTTGCTCGGTGTGACTCGCTGCTTTTGCTGCTTTAGTTTGGGAATCGAGCAAAATTAAACAACACTGAAGTTTGACTGTGATTTGTAAGATCACTAAAGTGCAGTTCCAACAATTTTATGAGCGCATTAATACCATACCATACCATACCAATTTATTTATAAAGCACTTTAAACAGTGACAAAGCACACCAAAGTGCTGTACAGGGACAAACAGAACAAGCACACAGCAACAGATTACATACAGGACACCAAAAAGTAGAAACCAACAAAAACAATAATGGATAACAACAACAACCGCAACATGACCAACACAGTGTGATGCACACAGACTCAGCACAGATCACACAGTGCTGAAAGCCAGGGAATAAAAGTGTGTTTTTAAGCGAGATTTAAAAACTGTGAGGGAGGGGGCCTGTCTAACGAGCAGAGGTAACTCATTCCAAAGTCTTGGGCCTGCTACAGAGAAGGCCCTGTCACCTCTGCGCTTGAGACGGGTTCCTGGGACCGTTAGGAGCAACTGGTCTGCTGATCTGAGAGAACGTGGTGGGACATACGGCTGGAGCAGATCAGTAAGATAGGAGGGGGCAGAGCTGTTTAGTGATTTATAGACATACAGGAGTATTTTGAATTTGATTAAAAGGTGAACTGGAAGCCAGTGTAGGGAGGCCAAAACAGGTGTAAAGTGCTCTCTTTTGCTTGTGCTGGTCAAAAACAGGGCTGCTGCATTTTGGACCAGTTGGAGTCTAGCTATGGAGGTCTGACTGATACCAAAAAGGAGTGAGTTGCAATAGTCCAGCCTGGATGTAATGAATGCATGAATTACTGTCTCCAGGTTATTTTTGGACAATATGGGCTTCAGCTTAGACAGTCGCCTCAGCTGGAAAAAGCAGGATTTAACAATCATATTTACATGATTGTTGAGTTTCAGAGAAGGGTCAAGTATCACTCCTAGATTAGTGACACTTTGTTTCACTAACGGTGACAGAACGGATAGGTCGATGCAGTGGTTGGTGATTGTGTCATTGGGAGGAAACAGCATAACTTCAGATTTCTTCTCGTTGAAACTCAAGAAATTTAAAGCCATCCAATCTCTGATGTCAGCCAGGCAGTCCAGTAACGGTTGAATAGAGCGAGTATTGTTGAGTCTGAGGGGGAAGTAGATTTGGCAGTCGTCGGCGTAGAAATGAAAAGGTATGTTATGTTTCCTGAAAATAGCACCTAGTGGCAGCAGGTATAAAGAAAATAAAAGAGGACCAAGGATGGACCCTTGCGGTACACCCCATTTAAGCGCTGCCGAGGCTGAACTAAAATCTTTGATAGAGACACAAAAGGACCTGTCAGCGAGGTAAGATCTAAACCATTCGAGGGCTGACCCAGTGATGCCCACCCACTGCTCTAACCTCGCAATGAGGTTAATGACTGTTAAAGAAAATGGGGAAAAACTAGACCCAGCTGTGCTTATCAGAAGGTTTCCTGTGATTTTCCTGTGCTGTTATCTGCTGACACCAGCGTTCTGTACATGACAGCTGACTGGAGTAAACGGACTGGTATTGATTCACATGGAAGCTAAGAGTTCCTGGTTTCTCTTTCAGACAGACTGCCGTCCAGATGATGGACGTTTGTGTGGAGGAAGAGGAGGACACGGCAGAGTCTCTGGTGTCCAGCTGCTCCTCCACAGATAGTGACAGCTTCAGAAACCATCCTCCAGACTTCAGTACTGAACCTGAACCTTCAGACACAAGGTAAGAGAACTTCTTTAAGCTTTTTCAAATAAATCCACAAACCAGGGGCGCAACCGGTGGGTGGGGGTGGGGTTGGGGGGGTTTGGCAGGGTGGCAATGGACAGATTTATCCTCTTGCCAAGCTTTTGCTTGATGTGCATTTTTAATTTTCCTGAGGCCTTTAAGATTAGGAAACTATATGGAAACTTAAAATATACCCCCCCCCCCCCCCCAAAAACCCCCCCCCCCCCCCCCCCACACACACACACACACACCCCTGAATAGGGACAACCAGTCCTAAAAACAATATCCTCAACATTTGGATGCAGGGTCTCAGGAGATTTATGCATAATATTTTTATAAACAAATTTAGAAGAGGCCAAATGTCAATAAGTCAAGTAGTGACAGTACTTTTCTGTGAAGATCTGGGATTTTGTTACTTTATTTATCCTCTGTGTAAATGGACTGTACTTAAATATCACCTTTCTATCTTATCGAGATATTCAAAGCTTTTTACAATCTGTGCCTCATTTACCCATTCATACAGCGCTCTACTAGATCTGTACAAAGAATAATCAGCTTTATCACATTCATAAACTGATGGGACACACACTGAAAGCAATGAGGGGTTCAGTGTCTTGCCCAAGGACACTTCGGCATGTGACTACTGGTGGAATCGAACCCCCAGCTCTCGCATTGGAGGATGACTGATCTAACCACTTGGCCACAGCCGCCCGCATGTGTAACCCCCCCTTAAATTTGACTTATATTAGCAGGCGGTTCAAAACTCTGTTCTGGCTTTTGGTTTAGGTTTATTATTTTATAAGATTTTTAGTGACCCCCACAGACCACTGCCACTGACAGCTAATAACTTTTTTGTTTCCCACACAGCTTGACCCTAATGTGACAAAAACACTAAAAAAGATCACATTATCAATTCAATGTGAGATTAAAAAAAAAGTGTTGGAAATGTATTTATTTTGGTTAATATGTGTTTATGATTTTTAGACAGCTCTGTCCTGCAGAATCAAAACTTTCTTTTAAAAGAACTTAAACATGAATAAACTCAAAGGCATTTTTTTATGCAGCACAGCTGCTAACCCCCAAACCCGACCTGCCTTCCATGTAGAAACACCAACTTAAACAGGATCTTAAGATATCCTGATGCATGCTTAATTATCCAGGTAATATCCAGGTTTGATTTGGGGAGATTTTAATATCCATGTGTGCTGCCCTGATAAACCATTAGCTCAGGACGTCCTGAGCTAATGGTTAAGGCTAACCCTGCAACAAACACAGTCTTATAAATACTGAGTTTGTTGCAGCTCCTCAGACTGATGAAGTCTTCTGGATAAAAGACGAAATGTTTCAACAAGTTTTTATTTTTCAAATCTGTCCAGTATCTTAAGAACCCATGCTTAGTTTGGCTCTTCTGGGCTCCTGTAGAAACATGGAAACTAAAGTTACACCAGGTTTGTTTAAACTTAAAACACATTTTATATTTACTTTTGTACAACATACACTCGAAATGTGGGCTGGGGCACTTTGTGCAGTTATTATTTATTTATTTATTTTTTTTTTTCAAAAATTCTTGTCAATTGTTTTATATCTTGTTCAAATACACATTTATTATTCTTAAAGGAGAAATCATTTAGTTATTGTGCTCCTCAGAAAAGAAAAATAATGGAAACATTAAATCCACACCTAAGACACACAATAATACACAATAATGATAAATAGGAAAATAACAATGAGCTCAACAATGAGATTATAGTATTAAAAAACATTTATTAGATACATTATTACTCTGAGCTATCAGAATGGAAGAGTATAGTTGAAAATTTTTGCCTTTCATAGTTCAGGGGTTTAGAGTGCACAGATTTTATCAACCCAGTTCTCTTCCTGTTGTTCCAGTTCTTCATCAGAGCTGATGATTCACTGTCTTCACAGAGGGAGGGAGAGGAGTGGTGTCTGTGTGGGGGAGGGCCTGTTCCACTGCACTTTGCATCAGGACGTCCTGAAGGATCCAGTCTCTACCAGTGGTGGACACTGGTTCTGCAGATGGGCCAACACGTCATACTGGGTCCAGTCTGCTGCACCAGGACCCTTCTCCAGTCTCCAGTGTGGAGAAACATCTAACATCACATCTGGACTGCAGACATCCAATCAGAGCTGCTCTGTACAAGGTCAGATATTAACCAGATTATGTGATAAACTCTTCTTAGACTATCAGTACAACACCTTATTTATGATCTGATGCACAACCTTGATCTTTCTTACTCTTAACCTCTTAGGACCTGGCATCCACATATGCAAGAGTTTGCGTCTTAGGAGGTTAAGGCTGTTTCTGTTTCCCTAATTCTTTTTTAACGGTAATCAGGCTAAGATACAACGTCTTTCTTTATTTAAATTTTAACAAACACAAAGTATTATTCATTTTCAAATGTCATTTTTTCTCATTTGACATCCCTGCATTTGACTTAGACAAAATCAAAAACAAATATTAAAGTCAAAGCATGGTAAAAGCCACATGTGTGTGAAAAACATACAAAATAGATATGGCTAAGTAAAAGTGACAAAACTAAAAGTAAATAAACACATAGCTTTCAAAGGTCAGATGTTTAGATGCAAGAAAAACTCATTTATCTCTGCAGCATACCAGGTTTTTTTAATAAGCAGTGATGATTTTAGTAATGTTATTTTAGTGTTTTAATGTCTTGTCATGCACGAATGTTTTATATGTCTACTTACTGTGAATCACATTGCCCCTCAAGGATAATATACATTATTGAACTTGAAAGTTAAAAAAAAGCCACTAGGGAGCACAAGTCATCTTGTGCCAGTCCCAAGCCTAGGTAAAATGTGAGGGTTGCATCCGACATAAAACACTAAAATAACTAGAACTATAAGAACTATAATATGAGTTCACCAAAGCGAAACAATACCGGATTGGTCGAGGCCCAGGATAACAACAGCCGTTGTTGACAAACAGGGTGCCGGTGGAAATTGTGCTACTGTTAGTCGAAGACCACGAGGAGGAAAACATGTCAGGAGACAGAGGGAGAAGAGGAAAGTGAAGAATGTAGGACTGAGGGATGCAACTCTAAAGGCTCCAGTATAGTCAGGCGTACTTCAGTCCACGGAGGTTCGCACGAACCGGATTAGAATCGACGCGGACGCCCACAGGGCATGTCCGTGCAAAGATCAATTTTTACGAAAGCGTACGCGTACTCAGTGTCGCACAATAAACCGCCCGGCGACTGTTTTGTATGCGACACCAATGTATTAAATTCCCCTTCTTCATCCCTGATCTGGTTTAATGGCCTTTTCTTTTTTTTCTTTTCCAAGAGGCAAACGATCTCTTCCTCCTCCTCCATTGATGCCATGATTGAAATTGTGAGAAATTAAGGAATTTGTCACGAGCGAATTAAAATCAGGCCCAACGTGGCTGAGGGAGGGTCTGGAGATTTCCTGGTGTGTCAGTCTGATGTGTGGGCTGCAAGGCCAGCGCTCCCTGTTTTATTTATGGTTTAGAACTTTTTATTAACAACATATAAACACAGAACACCGCTAACGCTTGCTGCCAGTTCTCTTTTTTTTTGCGACCTGTCACTCCAGTAGGCGTGCCATCAAATGACCAATCGGCGAACTCAATTTGTCCTGAAAATAAACGCCCCTTGCCTGCGGAGCTGGCTGCAGCCGGTCAGGGTGGATGCTCGAGTATGAAGTCTCAACCGTCTGCGGACAGAGCATGCAGTTTCCGCATGGACTGAGGACTATATAAGTAGTCACATAAGATGTTCACATCCTGGACAGAGAGGAACGATGGTTTGAGAGAGGAGTAAAGGAGGCCATCTTTGTGAAAAGAAATCGTCCATCGTTAAACAGGGGTGGAGGCCTCCGGGTTCAACTGGCCCCCTCTTACAATGCTGTGATTGCTAGTATCACTCAGCCCTCTGTGAACAGTAAACAGCCATCAGTGTGCTAATGATCCATTGTTAGGCTGATGGTCCTTCTTGAGCATGTGATCAGCTGGTTTTGGTTGTCAGTAGCAAAACTGGTTGATCCACTCTGAGACGGTGCTATTTAAGAGACTGAGCTGAATACAGCTCCTCAGACTGAGGAAGTCTCTCGGATGAGAGACGAAACGTTTCTACATTTTTTGTTGATTTGCTTTGTTTTGTTTTTTTGAATGTCCAGAGGACCAGATTTAGCTTTTTTAGATTTTTCTACCTGGATTATTGAGCATGCATCAGGATATATAAGTAGTCCATTTACCCCATTACTGTATTCTTATTTAATCAATTTCAAGTTTTTCAGATAAAATATTCAAAGACATTTTGAGTGTGTCTGTGATTGTACATAGTAATCTAAATATGTAACGACAGAGCATGTCCATGTCCCCGAGGGTGGTGTGGGGGACATTTGGGTGATGCGGTCTCTGGGGAGGGGGGAACCAGACGGGTTTTTTGTCCAGGGCAACAAACAGGCAAGTACCACCCCTGGTGACACCGTGCTGCCAAAGTACAAATGTTTTTCTTTTTTTTTATGATAAAGGACAGAGGATGCAGCAGAATGAGACAAACTTATATAATGTATATGTTATCTTTGCAGATTAGAATGCAGATTACTGCAAAAATTTGGCCCAATTATTTATCACGTTCAAATGATCATGGCTTTAGAATAAGTTTAGTCTTGCTCCTGTTTGAATTTTAACACCATTGACTTGTTTTACTGGAGACTTTCCAGTGATTTTTAAGGGACAAAGAACATTGGTTTCTCAAAGATATGGACTTCAGAAGAAAGAAACATGAAGCTCAATAAATGATGATGAATTGATTACATTTGATGGTTCTTTAATTAGGTTGACTGTTATCTTTTTGTCTTGTTTTTTGTTTTTCTCAGTAGATGTTGGTCTGCAGGAGGTTTTGGATGAACATAAGATCAGTCTGAGAAGGAGATGTGAATATGTGGCTGAAGGAAGTGGTGAAACAAGAAGTAGAACCCTCCTCAACAGGATCTACACTGAGCTCTACATCACAGAGAGACAGAGTGAAGAGGTTAATACTCAACATGAGGTGAGGCAGCTGGAGGCAGCCTCCAAGATCAAGAGCCTTCATGACACTCCAATCAGGTGCCACAACATCTTCAAGGCCTTACCTGACCAACATGGAGCCATCAGAGTGGTTCTGACAAATGGTGTTGCTGGTGTTGGAAAAACCTTTTCAGTGCAGAAGTTCACTCTGGACTGGGCTGAGGGCTTGGAGAACCAAGATATCAGTGTGGTGATTCTGCTTTCATTCAGGGAGCTGAACTTGATCAGAGATGAGCAATACAGTCTTCTCACACTGATCCATGATTTCCATCCATCATTAAAGAAGTTCCCAGCAGAGAAGCTGTCTGTCTGTAAACTTCTCTTCATCTTTGATGGTCTGGATGAAAGCGGATTTTCACTGGACTTTGACAACATGAAGGTTGTCTCTGACGTCACACAGAAGTCATCAGTCAATGTGCTGCTGACAAACCTCATCAAGGGGAGTCTGCTTCCCTCGGCTCTGGTCTGGATAACATCCCGAACTGCAGCAGCCAAACAGATCCCTCCTTCTTGTGTTGACAGGGTGACAGAAGTACGAGGGTTCACTGATACCCAGAAGGAGGAGTACTTCAGGAGGAGGTTCAATGATGAAGATCTGTCCAGCAGAATCATCTCCCACATCAAGACCTCCAGGAGCCTCCACATCATGTGTGGAATCCCAGTATCCTGCTGGATCACTGCTACAGTTCTGGAGCACATGTTGACCACAGAGCAGAGAGGAGAACTGCCCAAGACTATGACTGACATGTACTCACACTTCCTGCTGGTTCAGACAAAAAAGAACAAGAACAAGTACCATGAAGGACATGATAGGAAGACCAGAAAAAGAATTAAGAGGAAGAAAAACAAAAACCATGAAGAGCAAGAGACAAGTCCCCATGAGCTGACAGAAGCTGAAGGAGAGGTTCTCCTGAAACTGGGGAGGTTGGCATTTAAGCATCTGGAGGAGGGAAACATCTTGTTTTCCCAAGAAGACCTGGAGAAATGTGAACTTGATGTGACAGAGGCTTCAATGTACTCGGGAATTTGTTCAGAGTTGTTAAGAGGAGAGTTGGTGATCTTCAAGAAACCAGTTTACTGCTTTGTTCATCTAAACATTCAGGAGTTTCTGGCTGCAGTCTACATGTTCCACTGTTTCACCAACAGAGACACATATGTCCTGGAGAGTTTCCTGAGAAAACAAGACAATTACTCGTCAATGGACGACTTCCTTTACAGTGTCCTGGTGAAGTCCCTCAGAAGTGAAAATGGCCACCTGGACCAGTTTGTTCGCTTCCTTCATGGCTTTTGTGTGGAGTCCAACCAGAGACTTTTAGGAGGCCTCCTGGGTCAGACAGGTTACAGTCCAGAAATCATCCAGAGAGTCATCAACAACTTGAAGAAGATAAACTCTGGTGGTGTTTCTCCTGACAGACACATCAACATCTTTCACTGCCAGATGGAGATAAATGACCTCTCAGTTCATCAGGACATCCAAGAGCTCCTGAAGTCAGAGGACAGATCAAAGATAACCCTCTCAGAGAACCAGTGCTTAGCTCTGGCTGACAAGCTGCAGATGTCAGAGGAGGTTCCAGACGAGCTGGATCTGAAGAAGTACAGATCATCAGACGAGGGACAACGGAGACAGATTCCTGATGTGGCAAACAGCAGATTGGCTCGGTGAGTCCAGATGTGCTCAATAACATCCTAAAAAACATCAGTGAGGTCTGTGGGTTACTGTAAACTTTTTAAAATACTCTTAAAATATTAATCCAAGTCAGATTTTTATTAGCAAACTACACTTCTTCTGTTTTCTTTATTAGTTCCCAACATTCCCAAAGACAGCCAGATGGCAATATCATGGGGCCCAGAGGATCTCCCATGGATGGCTGGAGAAATCATTAAGAGAGAGAGAGAGACACACACACAGAGGTGGACGGACAGATAGACAGTTTTTAGGGGAAATTTGGGGCAAACAGCAGCATATTATAATTATACAGAAAAAAACCACACTTGAAATAATAATAAAAAGAAGTAGAATACACAAATTTGGAAAAAGCCAATATGCTCAAGGTGGTTGGGAGTACTACATTCATGATTACCCTATACATATGTGTAGTGGTGTCGGGACAGCTTTGCTACGGACGTACTACTAATTAATTATTCTTAAAGCTAGTTCAAGCACAAAGAATATTAATTGTTTAATTAAGAACGGATTCTTTCTTTTTCGAGTTAAATTTCTGCCATGTGACCCAGATAACTTGAGAGTGGAGTTTTAATTAGTGACATGAGACGCCATTTTATCTTTGACCCATCAGAATAAATGCGGTCATTTATTTAACAGAATCAAAATTTAACATCAAAACATGTACACATGATTTGCTGATCTGTTTCTGAGGTTTAAACTTAGCAAGTTCAAATAAAAAGACAACAGACGATTACTGATGGAGAATGATTCATCTCTGAAGGCACTTAACTTGATTTACTGGCGAATAGAAGTTTAAAGAGAAGGAGAATAGAAGTTTAAAGAGGAGAATTTAGGTGGATGAAGGAAGATGTGTTGACCAGAAATGGCACCCTTCCTCCGACCCCAGCTCAGCCCTCTGGTACACTCGGTGCGTGACGACTTGTGACGACTCATTACCTGAGCAGAGGATAGATCAGCTCCGGAACAGAGGTCCATTGGCACGCTACCTTTTCAGCGTCTCCGGTCAGGGTGGCTGAGAATCTTCCGAAGTAGTTCCATATACTCTGTTCAACAGAATAAGCTTCCTTCGAAGTTGAGAGCATTTAATGCTCGGGGTGAGTCACAGCGAGGCAGCTGTGACTCCGCTGGAATGGACGGACCCTTGGCACATGGTCCAATTCCATACTCCAAAGCTGACTTTCAGTAAGAACTGAAAGTTCCTGTACGACTCGCCGTAAGACTGTCTCATCATCGACTGTAAGACTTAAAGTTCCAGGAAGACTCCAGTAAGACTGAATAGTTCCAAGAAGTGTTGACTTTTAAAGGGTATCCACTTCCTGTTACGTAGTACTTCCTGATTGGTTAGCACAACCAGCAGGTGTGTAGTTTTAGTGATGTCAGAGGGTTATTAGGAGTCAGCAGACAGCAGAAATGCTTTTAAGAACGGTTAGTACAGACAGGAAAATATTTTGAAAAAGTGAGAGACAGCAGGTGCCAGTTTCTTATTTACTGTCTGAGAGTTTTAAAAACAAGGCACTTCGTTCTCATAACTTGTGCTCTGACATTTGACCGACATAAAGTCCACTCCTCACACAGACAGAAGAGTAAATGCACACTTACTTCGTAAATAAACATTTAACTTGTATGATCTAAGTCTAATGAGGTTTAAAAATCATTAATACTGTTTCACAGTTGATTTAAATGAGTGGTTTACTTCAACATTAGAAATGGTATGAACTAAGCACACTTTTGATTATCAAGATATTGTACAATAGTAATGATAATATAAAAAAGAAGAGGGTTCTTTCAATTGATTATTTCAGGATACAATTAGTCTCTTGATGAGATAATTTGTATTTCTGGATTCAAATCAATGAAATAACATTTCCTGTCCCCTGAAGGTCTTCAGAGACAGATTGTTTAGGAGGTCTAGTTCACTACATATGTATACATAATACACATATAAGCATACATACACATCTCCATGTATGTACACATACATAAGTGTCCAGGGTGCCACAAATGCACTGGTAGAAGCCGGTAGAAGTCAGATCTCTATTTTAGGCTAAATTTCTATCGTTTCTACCGTGTACCATTTATATCGCGCATTCCTAGTTACAAGTATATTCTTTGTGATTTAAATAGGCAAATTTTATGACTGATGATATGGCAGACATCTTCTCCCGCGCCCAGACAATCACTTCTCACTTTCTTGGAGTGACCAGTGTTGCCAGATAGAGATGAAGTTTTCCAGCCCAAAAATTTGTTAAAAACCACCACATCAGACAAAAATCAGCCCAATCAATATATTGTTACAGTATATTTACTGTTTGAACATGAACGCACATCAGTACACATCACCACATCATTGTAGAATTGCACCGCTCAAGGTGGCTGCATGTTGGAGCAACTCTGTTACATTCATTATGAGATTTTGCTTTTGGAAACTTTAATTCCTCTTTTTCTGGATGTAAATCACATTTTTTGGATGATTGTTTCCTCTGGTATCAGATGCTGTGCAGCTGGAAGGATTTTTACTGAAACTTTTTTAGCTTTGGACATTTGTTATGATGCGTAACCATGGCAGCAAGGCAGTTTTCTACAACCAACAGCAGCTAATTAACATCTCAAAAGCTCAAAAAATATCTCAACTACAGCCCCAAATCTCAAATGAGTTGAAAAGGATGTTCTGTGGATGCATTCTCATCTACCTGCCAGCTATGCTCGAGTGCCTGACCACTGAGATCCTGAAACTAGCAGGAAACATGGCTCATGACAGCAGAAGGACAGGATCGTCCCTCGGCACCTACAGCTGGCTGTCCGCAACAATGAGGAGCTTGGCAGGCTGCTGAGAGGAGTGGCCATCGCTCTGGGAGGAGTTCAGCCCGGCATTTGGGCGGTCCTACAGCCCAGGGAAACCGAGAAGCCAGCAGAGTCTGGGTGGACGGATCGGACAGCATCTGCAGCCAGTTTCTTAGGATCCACTGTGGGATGGATCTTTACAAGAGATCCTTCCTGCCTACAGCCATAAGCATCTACAACATCTCTTAATGAAATGAGGATAATGAGTTACAACAACAAATAATTTCTCTTTGGGATTAATAAAGTATTATTGAATTAAATTGAATTGAATTGTACAAGCCAAGGTAATTTAACAATATGTGGCAAAATGCAACAATACATCAAAAATCTTCCCAGCAAAATCAGAATGAAAACTGCCCAAATGGCAGTAAACCACCCAATCTGGCAACAATGGGAGTGACGTGTGTGAGTGAAATGGGGTGGGCGTGACAGAGGTAACAAAAACATGTATTTAGCAATGAGTCACGTTATCACTTGGATTTGAACCAGTACATTTTGCATCCAATAAAAACAAAGATGTTGACAAATAAATTGGACAATATTCTGGCGATTTAGTGATATTTCCACAGTTGTGGTCTTGACTGGTCTTGAAATAAAATCCCGAGTCCTCAATGACTGATACTAAGACAAGACTGAGACCAAAGGCAGTCAAGTGCGAGACAAGACCAAGACCATCAAAAAGTGGTCTTGAGAGCGGTCTTAAGACCTAGACCGGTCTCGAGTACTACAACATTGAGTGATCAATAATGCTTCATGTGGAGGTGAAGAGCAAGGAAATGTGGACAGCCACGGGAGTGCATCATCTTTGTAGCAAACATTTGATTAAAGGTAAGATTACGATTACTTTGTGGTTTTTTGTTCAGGTGTTCTGTGTTTTTGTTGCTACAGGCTTTAATGAAGATTAGTGGATGAGCTCTAATAACATGATGACGTTGAAAACATGCTAATGCTAAGACAAGCTAATTGCTGTCAACATGAACTCAGGAAGCCTTTTAACTGAAGCTAACTGTAGTTTTACATGACGTCATCTTTTATTTCATAAACCAGAGTTATGTAAAACATTTCATGACTTGTGTACACATGGCTACCAGCACCAATCAGAGAGAAAATGAGTCCAGTAAGTGTCTCTGTCAGACATTGTTTTACATTCAGCACTGATTAAAAACATCAGATATGAAGTTATTAACTATCTAATTAAAGGAGAATCGAACTCAGAATAGAAATATTTCCTCCTGATTTTTCTTTCTCTCTGGTTACGTTCATGCAAACAGCTGATTTAAAAAGTCATCAAGGTTTGTTGCTGGCAGGTGAATAGGAGGTCATGCAAACACAATCACTGATATTAGTCACGTGTTAATACTTTGATATTTTTCTAAACGTATTGCTCTTATCATTTGTGAACAGGTGCTGACAACCCTTCCACCTTTTTACCCACACCAGCGATGAAGAGAACGAGGGACCAGCAGAGGAAGAGGATGGAGTGGACATCAACATTGCCTCAGCTGTGGCACAACTTCCACCTGCTGAGGATGAGCAGCAACCACAGCTGCAAGGACACAACTGAAAGTTTACTAAAGGACCAGAATAAATTGAGGGAGGAAAGTTGTGAGCTTAAAGAAATGATTAGATCAGGAACATTTGATGGATCTACATTTGAAAGGCTGGATGATGACAGATTATTGATTTATTTAGTTTGACCTTTACTTTCCAGGTGAAATGTCTGAAAACCTGTTCTGAAGGTCCAGCTTTCATTGAAGAAATTACACCTCTGGATGAAATAGTGCACGTATTTGTTTTGGTCCTGTCTGTTCTCTACTCTGTTGGCCATTTTAGTTAGCTTCTGCTGCTATTTGTATCTGTATTTCTATTTTATGTTTTCCTGTCTGCTGTGCATGTTTGGTTCTTTTGTACAGCACTTTGGTTGGCCTTGTTGCTGTTTTAAGTGCTATATAAATAAATTGGTATGGTATGGTATGGTATGCTGTGCGCTGACAAATCTGGCTCCCTCTGTTGTTCCTTCAGGTTATAAAACGTTGTTTACGTACTGTAACCCCAGATTCTGAGTATAGACGTAGCCCTTTAAGGCTGTCGCTAGTGGGTTTATCCTGTCGCGCGCATTGCAGCACTGAAAACTT